GCCAGCCTGGGCAATCTGTCTCATAGCGGAAAGCAAAAAAGATGAGTGGAGATGTAGCTCGGTCACAGATCCTTCACCTAGCTTGGCCATACTTTTAGTTTTTCTAAAAGAATTAGTGAGTGTTGAACATAACCTTTATTTGCTCTCCTATTTATATGACTGTTAAAACATACAATCATTTAATGGAGTTAAGGCAGTCTTTTTTTTCCCCTGACTTATACAAAGAAGCAAAAAAGAACCTTGGAGAGAAACTGCTTTTTATTTTAAGCTTGGCTTTCAGCTATGGCCACAAGTGTCACTGTTGAAGGTCATTACCAGTCTTGCAAAGATCCCACTGAGAGTGCTAGCCATCTTGAGAGATGCCTGAGATTTTCTTTGTTGAAGCAAATTCAGCCTTTAATATAATTTAATGGTCCCAGGAATTAACTAATACATCATTATATTCAATGTATTTTTCATATTCTTAATTAAAATTTTTATCAAAAATTGCACATACTTGGGGAATACATTGTTTATACACACATTAGATAACATTTAAATCAAGATAAATAAATCTAGCCAAATGTGATGGTATACGCCTTTAATGCCAGCACTGGGGAGACAGAGGCAGGTGAATCTCTGTGAGTTTGAGGCAAATCTGGTCTACAGAGCTACACAGAGAAACCCTGTCTTGAAAAACAAACAAAAATGATAAGCAAATATAACTCTCAAGTATTTATGTTCTGTTAGAAACATTCAAACTCTAATCTGTTTTTGGAAGGTGCAGTACATTGTTATCAATCGTTTCTCTGCCTTGCAGCAGAATTTATTTCTTCTACATATTCAACTTAGCATCCATCTGCTAACCAACCTTTCCCCATCTCTCCTTCCTCACTGCTTGCTTCCCACACCCAGCATCTGATAAACGTTATTCCACTCACTTTTTAGACTTATTTTTATTTTGTGTGTAGGAGCATTTTGCCTGAATGTATATGCATGCACTATGTGCCTGTAGTGTCCAAGGAGACTAAAAGATGTCATCAGGTCCCCCGAAAGTGGAGCTACAGGCAGTGTGAACTGCCATGTGAGTGTTAGGAACCAAACTTAAAGAAAACCCTCAGCTTCTAACTGCTGAGCCCAGCCCCCACCATAATGCTTTTAGTTCTTCATATCATATAAGTGATATCATTTGGTATTTGTTTATTTATAACTGTTAAAACTTAGAATAATGCTTTTCTTTCAATTCATGTTGTCATAAATAATGGTTGAATATAATGTGCATGAACATATAAAATATATTTATGTATAAATTCCACATTTTCTTCATTAGGTTAAGAAATGTTATGTAACAAATGTGTATCTCAGCCCATTACCCATTTCATAATTGAATCGAGATAATGATGATGGTGGTAGTGGTGATAATGATTTGCTATTGAATTGAGTGTCTTCAATGTACTTGATATCCTTAGTCAGATGGATAGTGGGCAAACATTTTCCTTCATTATGTATGTGAAAATCATGTTTATTTCTATACAATTAGTTGTTACTATACATTTTATTAAATGCATTCTTTGACAAGTTTACACATGTGCATAATACATTCTGGTTACTTTCTTTTCCCCTGTCTCCCATCTTTCTCTCACTCCTGTCAATCTCCCCTCTGCCCTGCAAGTCTCTTTCTTGCATTCATGTGCTTTTTGTTTTGTTTTGTTTCGTGGTACCCTGAGTTTAACCAGGGCAGTCATGTAATCATGAGCTTGGAACTGATCATTGGTAGTCATGCATGGGTATACAACTAAATATAATGGCTGAGCCTCCTCCCTGCCCCCCCAGGGTCCATAAATAGCCAATAGTTCAGCAGGGAGGGGCAGGGCTCCTGACTCCCTCCCTCATGGGTGTTTAACTGATGTCAAGTCCAATATTATACAAGTACAGTGGAGACCGCCACAGGTGCTGTGAAATCATGAACATATTGACTGTGTCATACCCAGAAGGTAACATTTCACAGTCCCTGGCTCTTATGTTCTTTCTGACCCCTCTTTCTACAATGATCTCTGAGCATTAAAAAGGTGGTGTAGATGTCCTCTTTGAGCCTGAGCACTGGATTGTCACCTTTTCTCAACACATTCACCACTATTCAGGTTATTATACCTTTTATTAATCTATTTATATCTCTTTTTTAAATGTATACATATGTAGATAGGTCTGTGTGAGTAGTTGTCCTGTGTGTGTGTGTGTGTGTGTGTGTGTGTGTGTGTGTGTGTGTGTGTGTATGCAGGAGTGTGTAGCAGAAGAGGGCTAGAATTACAGGCTAGTGTGCTGGAAATTGAAGTGGGGTACCCTGCCAGAACAGAAAAGCTGTATCAGCTGCTGAGCCATCTCCCCAGCCCCTTGCTACTTTTAATAAATGTTTAACTCTAAGATTCTGAAGCCCTTGTTGAAACCCCAAACCTGAGTGTCTGTTCTTTTAATGATATTCTTAAGATGCTATGAGCATTCTTCACTCTTCTTCATCCTCGACTACCCCAGGTATATTCAAATATCTTGTCTTCTGTTAAATGGATTCTTCTATGTATGCCTTCAATTTCATCTTCAATTTATTCATTGTGCTTCCCAGATCCCAGATTTGTTTCATTTTTTAAAATTACTTTTCTCTCTGTAGTAAAGTTGCCTGATGATTACTGAACTGTTTTGCTTATGTTTTTAATTTTTGTTTTGGGTTTGGGTTTTGTTTTTTAAGATACAGTTTCCCTATGTAGCACTGGCTGTCCTGGAACTTACTTTGTAGACTAGGCTGACCTTGAAACTCTACTTCTACCTCTTGAGTGCAGGAATGGAAGGCATGAGGTACCACAGATGGGTTCTCTTGTGTTTTTAAGAACCATGCTTCAGTAGGTTGTCTCTAATACCTTTTCCACCCCTGACTATTTGTGGCTTAAAAAAAAATGTTTCTTTTATTCTTTGAGATTATAATTGTAACATTTTCCCCTACCCTTTCCTCCCTCACATGTATCCTTGCTTGTTCAAATTCATGGTCTTTACTTTTCATTATTCATTTTTACATACACACATACATATATACATATACATATATTCCTTCATTCATAAATACACCCTTTATAACATTACTTGTATGTGTCTTTTCAGGATTGACCATTAGTATTGGATAACCACTCTGTGTGCTCTTCCCCGGGGAAGGCTATTTCTCCCACTCTCAGCTATCTGTTTTACAAAACAGGATCTCATTATGTAACTCAGACTGGCCTCTAAGCAATCCACCTGCTTCAACATCCACAGCACTGGGGTTACAAGCATGTATCACCATGCCCAGCTTCTCTGGATTTTCTTGACGTTCATTAAGTTTCCATAAAATAGCTGTTTTGAATTCTTGTCCAAGAGGCCACACATATATGTCACCTCATCATTAGCTTCTGGCATCTCACAGTCCCCTAGAAGCTCTTGATACTTATTAGTATCTGACAATATCCAGGCATTGAAATATCTAGCATTTACTCCAGCTTTCATTGTTTGTGTTTAAAGGTGCCAGGTCTTCCAGGAATTCTAAGTAGGCTGTTTGTTCAGGAGCCTATGGTCAATGTCACTGTTCCAACTCTACACAATGCTGGTCCCAGTAACTCCCAAACCAGTACTGCTGTCGTGTTTGTGAAAGATGGCATCCCTAACTTAGGTTTGTTACAAGTCTGCAAATGGTATGCTATACAGGATAAATTGGGGACTACCTTGATGGATCAACTAGGCTCCATCTGAAACAAGGCAGGACCAGACACTTATCTACAACCACAAGCCTGCAGTCAGGAACAATAGTAGGATTCTACTAAGTCTTAAGCCTCATTACAGAGGATCCAGTCAAAATGGCCAAGTTCTGGGTCCAATCTGCAGCCTTTACCTTGCTGAGACCAGTGTAACTATGCTTCTCTGGCCTGTCTGGTGCTGTGGTCCATCCTTGGTCTGATACCACTGCAGCCAGGCATAGGTGATGCTAGCTGGAACACAAATATACCTCATGTGGCATGCTGGCTTCTGCCTGGGTGCTGTTCTTGGGCTCTAGCTGCAGAGAGAGATCTACAGCCCCAGCACCAAGTTTCAAGTCAAAGTTCACTTGTTTCTGCCATAAGTGGCTTGCACATGAAATCTCTGAACTTGTCGCCTGAGGTTTAGGGTGAATACTGGAGGCAACCCTTTGCCTAGCAAGTGTGGTGCTAAATTGTGTCACAACCTGAAGTTACATCCTTTAGAACTGGTATAATTTTGGCCACAGTTAGCAATTGTGGAGGTGGAAACCCAGGTCCATTGCATCAAGATCAGAGATTCTTGCTTAGCTCTGGGGTAGAGCCAATGACCCTGTGAACAGTAGCCTGGGAGCAAGGGCTGTGAGGTCCATTCAGTACAGAGTTTCACCCTAGTGAGATTGGTACCGGGTCCAAGTCCAAGGCATTAACTCTCCCTCCCAAGGGAAGGCATCATGCTCTAGATCAGCATTTCTCAACCTGTGGGTCTTGACCCCCTTGGGGGGATCAAATGACCCTTTCACAGGGGTTGCTTAAGATATCAGAAAACATAAATATTTACATAATGATTCATACCAGTTAGCAAAGTTACAGTTATGAAGCAACAAAAATAATTTCATGGTTGGGGGGCCACCACAACATGAAGAACTGTATTGAAGGGTGGAAGTGTTAGGAAGGTTGAGAACCACTGCTCTAAGTTGTCTGATTGTTGGATTTGTGGATTTCCCTTCAGCTTTCTCAACCATCTCTTTGCATTATTACACTTAAAACCAGATGCTATCATCTCTCATCCGGTTCATTAACTCTTGTGAAGGTTGTTTATCTGTAAATAACTCGGATTGAGTTTCTGTGGGTATTTTTGTAACTAATTCCGTGTTTGTTTTTAAGCAAATTCTTGAAAGAAATCAAACTCAAGCCCTTCCTAACAGTGATCCCATCTGGACTTGTCCTGCCTTTTGCTGTTTCTTACGTTTTTTCTGCTTCTGCTGCTAGGACTCAAAGGCTCCCTCCAGAGGCTGCAACTGGAATATGTGGACGTGGTCTTTGCAAACCGTCCAGACAGCAATACCCCCATGGAAGGTGAGTAAAGACATTCAAAAAGAATGAGAACCTACAGAACTTCTGGTCCTAGCCTGAAGACTGTTTCTACTCATAGTAAGTAATGGTTATTAAGACGATGCGATAGAATAAGAAAGGCCAAAACCTTTCCTATGTCCTTTAGCCTCTGCATTTACCCTGAAAGCCGATAGACTGCTTTTTCTCCTTCTTTTTCTCTTTCTTCTTCTAAAACTTTTATTCTTGGTGGCTTTTCTTGGTTGCAAAATATTCATTTTTTTTCCAGTTTCATTTCACTTTTGTAAGTTCGTCAACTAAAATGATCCCATTAATCAGAGGGGTTTAAAACACAACCTCCGTTTCTGAGGGACTCGTCTGAGGACCTTCGTTTCCTACAATGACACTAAGTCTGATTAGTTTCCTGGGTAATAATTGCTGAGTGGTGCTGAGAGTGGGAATTTAACAGAAAACACTCAAATGCGGCTCTTCTTTGTGGTTTGGATGTTGATCCTCGGCAAGCTGTGCAACTGTCACCTTCTGTCAGAAAACCACAGTTTGTCCCTGGGAAAACTTGCAGAACTTTTCTAAAGCCACATTTTCTTCATTTGTGTTTGTTGCCCAATACTGCTTGGGATGGCTGGAAATAAGATGGTTTTGAACAACAAAATAAAAACGTCTGTTGAGATTAACAAGTAAATGGGTAACAGTAATCTGAGGATAGAGATATTTCAAGATAAACAGGGAATAGTTGGTTGGTTGGTTTGTTTTTTTAATTTTACACTTGGACTATCAACTTATTAACAATCCAAATAATGTAATCCACATAAAATTACACTTAAAGTAATTTTGTCTTTGATAATTCAAAAAGCTGTTCAAATTTTTGTAATAAATTCAGCTCTCTGAAGATTTATCTTTGCTGTTGGGTCATAGAAATTAAAGAAAATATAAATGTTTCAAGTTCAAGGCAATTTTTCTAGGTTGCATTTCTGACCATGAAAAGATGTTAAAGATATTTATCTCTTTTTTTTATCTTTTTTATTGCATTGCCATTTATCTTTCCCAACTATTTTAAGAGCCGTACATGCTTAGCTATATCTATACACATTATTATCTGTGTTTACATATCATACATATGTGTATATATCTGCCAAAACAAGGTTGTTTGATAAAGCAAATTATAAACAGTATTAGAGATATTTATTTCAATGTTACTGTGTTGTCACACAATTCAGAAAGACACATTAAAACAGAGCACTAAAGCCATTTAGTCAGCAAAACTACCAAATAAAACAAAAGGTAGTGGATTCTGAAAGGCTAATTATTTCCCATTTTAAGTACCTGGTGGCTATTCTTCTCTTTAGAATAGTGTCTTGCAATCACATCATGTATATAAACAGAATTGCAGATAGCTGGATTTTTGTTGTTGTCTTGTTTTCACCCTTCCTGCATCCTCCTTTACCTTTAATTTAAAAAAAAAAAATATAGTCTCTCTATCAGGAAATATAAGTTGCATTACATCTATAAAAGGAGAGTTATATTACAAGAGTCTCTAAATGAAGAAACATAGTGGGCAAAGTTTGGTGGGTAAACATCCTCCAGAGACATGATGTGCTTTGGCCAATGATATGCTGAAATTTAGTTAAAAGAAATTTCCAAGTATTTCTTTAAAGAATAGATTGCTGGTAGCTAAGCCTGATAGTGTTTGCAGTGAATGCATTATCTAACCTCTACCAAAATCAGAGAAAATTTCATTATCCCTAAGATATTCACATAAAATTCCACCAAGGGAAGTAGGAAGTTATTTCATAATAAGTCATTGTCCTGAAGAGTATTAAACAATGGGTATCTTCCACTTCTGATTAAGTCACAAAACACAGATTTATGTACCTGGCTTGGCAGCAGTCATCTACCTTGTACTGGGATGTAACCTGCTGTCTCTCCTCACCCCAGCCAGGGACCTACCCCAGCCAGCAGGCCTAAAAACCTCTGAAGTGCTTTCTCCATGAGGGCTGAGTGGAGATGCTCTTCAGACAGTTCTCATGAGGACTTGGCCCAAATTCAGAAAGCTTGCTTTAGCTTTCTGAAAACGTGCATCTGAACCCATTCAATTATTTATAATTTATAATTACTTATTTGTAGGTCAAATAGAAATGCCAGAGTTGAATTGTGTTGGTGTCACAGATTTTACAATTAGTCCTTTCTGCTTTACTCTGACAAAGTTGAGGGCAGCTCTGGGAAATACAGAGAAAAAAGAAGTAGAGAAACAAGGACTGCCAGATGAATTGGAGACATTAGCTCCTCAAATGCAGGCATTGGAGATACACTTGAGTTGCTTCTGGAGATGATGGTAAATACTGTGTATGTGTATAAGTAAAAGTTGTACATACCCAATGAGGTCTCCCTTGGAGGATGACTAGTGTTTCTTAAAACAATGCCTAACTACCATCTGTGACCCTTCAGTGACTGTTAGTGTAACTCTACAGCCTTTATTCAACTCCTCTAGACAAAATGGAAAAAACATCTTTGAATATTCACCTGGCCAATTTCTTTAAATAATAGCCAGAAAAAAATTAATATCATTCACATGATTTTATTGGCTCATTACATCACAACTTAGTTGAACCATTTGTATTTGCCGTAGTTACACAACAGTAATTGCCAAGCACATATTGTTTAACTGCATATGTATGAAAATTACAGGGCCTTGCCATTTGTAGACCAACATTCATTTGACCACTCCTTTCCAAATCTATGCAGTTGGCACATTTCTTTTAAACTGGAGAAGCTGAAGGAGTTCCCTACTGAGGCAGCCCAGCCATGGCACCAGTAGCCCTTTGCCATTGCTGATTACTCAAGGGAGTAGAATAAAACAACCAACATGGAACACTGCCGACCTTCTAGCCAGAAACTATGCAAATGTCAAGATCATGTGTGTGCCTGCTTTGGGTATCTCTAAGTCACATTTTTAAATAACTTCCATTTAAATCTGAAAAATGCCCCATTTATGTGGTCTGTAGCATGAATCAGTGTTAATTGGGGGTGTATCTAAAATAAACCAAGATGAGTTTCGGCCAATTTCTGCATATTAAACTGCAACCAATTGAGCCAGAAAAAGATCGGTCTTTGCACCTTCTTCACCATATATGGACATCGTGCGTCCCATTAGTCATTGCTACCCGTTCCTCCAAAAAAAACCAAAAGACCAAAAGCAAGTTCTGTCAAGAGAGTGGTGGTAAATTCCTAATGTGGAGAAACCCAGAAGGCACTTCTTTTGCCATCTGCCACCTGATGGAACACAATTAGACATTTTGTGGTGATGGGAAGATGTGACAGCAGAGGGGAGCTTGTGTGCTTTTCCTTCCGTCCTTCTTGCTATTTTTTATGGTTCACCTAGTAGTAAGGCATTTTTCTTTCACAGCAGCTGCCATGCCATCTGCCTTTGCTATACTATCTGGCAATGGTGGCATGTTTTCCAATTGAAAAAGAACTCAGCCCCACATCCCATGTCTCCTTTCTTCCCAGGGAGTCACTGAGAGTTCCTTGTCTCTATGAAACTCAAACCAATAATTCTTTCACTTCATAAGTCAGTATGCATTTCAAATTCTTCTCTTGAGCTCACTATAGGAGAAGGTTCAAGGCAACTTAAGTCACGCTGCACATGGATTGACGGAGACACTGTATCCCATAGTGCCCCATGTTAGGAGAGTTTGTTTTTTGGTTTTTGGTTTTTGTTGTTGTTGTTGTTGTTGTTGTTGTTGTTGTTTTCTGCTATTGCCAAGTGCATGATAATTATCCAGGAAGAAAGCCATTGAATACCACTACAGTTGTGAGACATGAAGATAGCTGTGAAGTGTGGGCCACTTGTGAATAATAGCAAAAGAAGAGGCACTTTAATATATAGGCTTTTAAAATTTACTGACAGAATATGATGATTTTTCAAGTTAAATTACATTTTAATAAAAACTTAATTTAAAAACCATGCTTGAAATCAAGTCCTTCCATTTAGAACTCATTGCCAAAACTAATCTCCTAGAATTCCTGCATCATTGAATATTTTGTCTATACTAATTACTATTCACACTGTTCATTTTCTCCTTCTTGCAGGCTAGTATAGGCATAAAGCAACCCAGATGTCTTTATTGCAAATAAGAGAGCTAAGACCAAAGTTAGTCCATTAATTCCCACATATTAATCAAACAGCAAATTCTGTAAATATTTATTTCTTCATATGGCATTTTTTTTACTGTTGCTACATGCAAACAGAAATCTGTGGATATTTGGAAATCTAGGATATTCATAACAACTCAGAAAACAAGAGACCACAGAAAACATTTCAACACCTTAGGTCATCAATATTTTATCAGTTTTAAAATACTGGACCCAGAGATTTTATCTTCCAAAGTAAAGTTTTTAAAACAAAAACTTAATCACCTGAAATTTATATATGTCATTTAGCTACAAATGATCAGTGAATCTGGCTTTATCCTTCATTATCATCACTAATGAGTGCCCCCACCTTGTCCCCAAAATTATAATAATAGCAAGCTATATGACAGTGTTATGCCAGGAAGATATAAAGCAAGACACTTATACAATTTAAATTATTTATTAGCCACATGAAAACAAATTAAAATAAACCAATGGGTTTCATTATATATTATTTTAACTACACACACAAAAATTACTATTTCAATTTGTAATCATGTTTTAAATGTGATAATTTACTCTTTTCTGACTAAGTCTCTGAAACCCACAGCATATAGCGTAATTTGGACCTACACATTGCAAACGCTAAAGAGATACATGTGGGGGAGCACTACCTTGGATGACCACAGAGGTAAAAACTCTTCCCACTCCAACAGAAGCCTGGGCTATCAATCCACTTTGTGTTGCTCTGACTGTGATGCCCAACAGAAACAACCCAAGCTTTTTGGAGAGCTTTCCAAGAGACATTTCAGCCCAGCATCACAAGGAAGGCATTACAGGAAGCATACAGGGGAGGCTCCTCTCACATCAACATCCCA